AAAAGCTGAGAGTACTTGGTTAATAAGAAAAAATCTTCATCTGTAAGGAATTTAGACTTCCTGTTTAAAAACCTAACTTTGGAAATATAGTGGCCCATAAGGTTTGCTACTTCCAATATGTTTTTTTTTTGATAGTTTGTTTGTTTAAATGTTTATAAAAAATGGGTTTATTTTTAAATATAAACTTCAGAATTTAAGAGAAGGAAATGGTGTCTAATTATAGTTCATTATTTTGCCTATTCAAAGAACAGAAGTAATGATTCTTACGAATTGGCTTTGACCAAAGTTCTCTTGTTTCCAGGGAAAGAACATAAAAGCTTTTGAACCACAGCCTTTTAAAAGGAGGGGGGGAACGATATTACAGTGAATTTTGGCTTTCTAAAAGTATGCAACATCTTCAGCTGGGCTTTCTGTTGTTATTGTGACATCACATGGTAAGAGGCATATTTGACGTCATTGTTAAGCTGCCCTAGTAAATGCCTACACCCATAAAATCTTTCTAGTAATGGCAAAGACCAATTTATTTAAAAATCTAATTATATATCTATAGATCCAAGTCATTGGATACAACGTTGGCCTATTTCAGAATACAGAGTTGACTAGTGTAAAACATTTAGTTCCTGCTTCCCAGTGAGCAAGATCTGAGCAGCAGCAGTGTGCTGCACAATTACCAGTGGCTAGATGGAGTATTGACCTGATGGCAAAAAAGAATGAGGAACATCTTGAGTCCCCTTTCTTTTTTGATAGTGTTTCTTGATATGCCATTAGTGCCTTCATGGCCAGTTTGAGTCCTACCTACTCCAGCTTTTATGTTCCCACTCTTCCTGTGTTACCACCTTTCATCTTGGTATCTTTTTCCATTTTGTTAACGTATTTCATGTTAACTCAATAAAATGCTTACTGAGGGAAAAAACTTGTTTGGAATTTATTGTGTATTACCACTTAACACCAAATTCTTGAGTGAGATTTTACATTGGAGTTGGCACTAGCCATTCCTTGATAAGAAAAAGAATTGTTTCAGTTCTTCTGAAACCATTTGAGAATGTCATCTAGGGACAAAACTTTATGGAGTGGGAAGATGAAAACATAATGTATGAAAATACTTAGAACCAGTACCACAATAAATGTAACTTGCTATCCTTTTTTAATTTTTGACTTTGTTCTCATAAAATTCACTCATTTTTATCTTAGTGATYTGAACATTTTCCAGCAGCTTCTCAAATAAACTAGGAAACTTCAATAATTTCCTAAATTCTTAACCTAATTTCCTTAATTCTGGACTTGACACACTGAACTTAGGCAGTTTATGCTGCAATACTATGTTTCCATTGCTTAACCTTGGTTTTAGAACTCTTCTCCAATTCAACTTGCTGTGATTATATTCAGTTTCAGATATGTAGCAATGGATCCTGTTATGGAATGTTTCGTTTTCTTAAATTCTTTTATATAAAAGATATATGGACAGTACTTGCAGTCTAGCACGTGTGAGGCCCTAGGTTTGATTCCCCAGTCCACTTAGTCACTGTTAACAGTGTCAGTTCAGACTTCTGTGGCCACGTGTGTCCTTTATTTTTTTTTATTTATTATTATTTTTTTTAATATTTATTTTTTAGTTTTCGGCAGACACAACATCCTTGTTTGTATGTGGTGCTGAGGATTGAACCCAGTCCGCACGCATGCCAGGCGAGCGCGCTACCGCTTGAGCCACATCCCCACCCCTGTCCTTTATTTTTAACAATAGTTTATTCATACCATAAGTGGTAATATGCAACTTGTTTTTGTATAAGACGTCTAATGTTCTCTGAATAGTTAACTAATATACTGATCAATGTATTTTTCAGAGCCAAGAGTTTCCACTAAGTAAATTTTTTTGGGGGGGGGGGSCTCTAATAACATGTATTTTTAAACTATTTTGAACAGGTCATGAAACAGCACTATCGTTACCACATCGTGAATAAAGGTGTGTGTTTAATTAATATCCCTAACGATGTGTGCTTCAATTTGCTAAAAGGACAAGTTGGGACAGTTGTACAATTGTTCTTTTAAATACTAAGTTGCTCTTATGCAGTAGTCCCAAAAACAGCATTCCCAGACCAACACTTATTAAAGGGATTAATTCTTTTTCAATAGAAAGGAGTTATGGTTCTAAAATCAAAAGAAAAAAGGTGAAGTCCACTATTGACTGCTTGAAGGAAGGTCAGGATCA